CAATGAGAAATGCCATTCAGAGGCATAGCAGGCCTCTTTGTCAAGTTCCCTTGGAGCATATCCTTGTAGAGACAACAGTTTTTACATGATGGTGGCGGGGCTGGGACTGCTCCCCCAAGGAGGCCTCAGTGGCTGGTTGAGCAAGTAACTCAGGAGAACTACTAGAGCACAAAAATTCGCATGGTAGAAATCTCATTTTATTTTAATATGAATGACTAAGATATTCACATGGTTAAAATTCAAAAGGTACAAAAGAACTGATAACGTCCCTCCCACCCTGGCCTCCTGCCACTTGGTTGCCTATGTTTGAATCAAACTAGTTCTATTAGTTTGTATAAAGAAGAAAAGAAGGTAAGAATGTACATTTGCTTATGTTTACATAAAATATGCACACTGTCTTACCGCTTGTCTTTTCAACCTCATGATGTATTTTGGAAATGGCTCTGTGTTAATATATGATAAATTCATTTTTTATGGCGGCATACTAGTCCATTTTATGAGATTACCTACTTTATTTCATCGTATTCTATCTACAAAGGTTTTTTTTTTTACTGTTACAATCTCACAAATAATAACTTTGAATATGTGATTTTATGTACATAGACATGTATTTAGGAGGTCACATTCCTAGAAGTACAGTTGTACTTGAGCAAATATATTTCCTTTGAAATTTGAAGACTGTTTTAATTTTATGCGTATTTTGAAAAGAGAATGTTTATAATATAATTATTTTAGAAGGAATCAAGAACAAAAAATAATGTTATTTCCTTCTCTCCCTTTCTACCTTCAAGGTAAGCAACTACTGCTAGTACCCCCTTTGTGAGTATAGCTATGTCAGAACTTTGTACCATTCCAGAGATTGACAGCTTGAGTAGTGTATTGTGTTAGGATAGATATATTACATATATATCTTTCACCAGGAAATTTTCTGTTTTCTTCTTCAATTGGTCAGTAGTGCTGAATCTCAACAGGAGTGATTTGCCTGTCTAGAACACAGTTGGCAATGTCTAGACTTTTGTGATATTGCAAGGGTGGAGGGCAGTTAATGCTATTGTCATCTCATGGGTAGAAGCTAGAAATGCTGCTCAGCATTCATAGTAAATAAGACATTTCCTTGCAACAAAGCTTTATCTGGTTAGTACTGTCAATTTGGAGGAAAATCTGTTTCTTAAGGACAAGAAGACTTTTCCAAGATGTTGATTTCAATAGATACAAGACTTCACAAAACCACTGATGTTAGGATAATTCTTCTCTGCCTCTTCTTTTATCTACCTTCATCAGGAACCATCATTGTTATATATCTTACTAGCAAGATCGATTATTTCAGTGGCATGTATTATTCTTAAATGGCTTCCAGGATGACTACAAATATTGTGTCTGTGCTTACTTTTCTTATTCCCTCACATCCTCTGGTGGTGGTTTGCTGAGAAAGGGTACATGGAAAATAAATTTGGAGGAAATTTTAATTTCTAAAAATGTCTTTTTTCCATCCTTTTATTTGATTGGTGTTTTATATAAAAGTCTAGAGAGGAAAAATTTATATATTTAAATACATAGTGTAAATTTTATACACTCACACATTTTTGTAATGCTGGAGGTTGAAAGAGGAAATCACTTTATCTCAAAATTTGTAGCCATGTCTTCATTGTCATAGAGCTTCTGACTTTGGTTCTGAGAGATATCTGTGACATTTTGGTGATTATTTATATGTAACCTTCTCCCTGGATGGTCTGAAATTTCCCATTGATATGTGTGATGTAATGTGAACTTACTTTCATTCAATGCATTGGGTTCTCAGTAGTCTCTTTTAATCTGGGCATTTATTCATTAGAGAATGTTCTTTAATAACTTCATTGACTTTTTTTCTTATTTTCTTTGTCCCTATTCTGGTATTCCTATTTAGATATTGGAATATGTTGTGTGTTAGCTTTGTGTCACTGTGACCAAAATATTCAAGGAGGGAATATTTATTTTGGCTCATGGTTTCAGAGGTTTAGTCTCTGATAGGTTGAGTCCATTGCTCTGGGAGTTAGTATATCATGGAGGAAGGGGATGGTGCAGGAGTACTGCTTACCACATGGTGGCCAGGAAGCAGAGACACACAGACAGACAGACATACCCATACACACACACATACACACATACACACACAGACCACAGGGAAGATGAACCTTTCCATGGCATGCCCCCAGATCCAAAGGATACCTTATATCCAAACCATATGTTAGAGATCACTTCAATTTTTTTTTCTCTAATTCTTCTGTTGATTTTCTCTTCACTATTTCCTTTTTTTTTTGTACCAGGGATTGAATGCAGAGCTGCTGAACCACTGAGCTGATACATCCTCAGCCCTTTTTTATTTTTTATTTTGAGACAAGGTCTTACAGAGTTGCTTAGGACCTCTCTGCATTGCTGAGGCTGGCTTTGAACTTGTGATCTTCCTGTCTCAGGCTCCTGAGCCGCTGGGATTACAGGCATGTACCACCACGCCTGGCACTATTTTATTTTTAATTTAAGACTGTTTTTCTGAATTTTTGAAAATTCTATCCCATTCCTGTCTCTAGCTGTATTCTTTCTCTTTCTAGATGATGAATAGGGGTATGCTTGTTTTTTGTTGGGTTTGATTTTTAACTTCTTATTTTGTTTCTTCCAAGTAACCATTTTCTTTTTGTTTCATCTGGGCTCTGTCTTACATGTTAGAGATTTCTTCTGCTGCTTTGTGCTCTTTAGTTGTCCATTTGTGGTTATCTGGTTTGGAAATTCTGAGTGCATGAATTGGGCTTTTTGAATTTCACTATTGAGTGGTTTTGTGGAACCTAATATGGAACTCCAGTGTCTGTTCTCTTCAATTTTGGACTGTTCAGTTTCCCCCCAAAAGGAGCTTTCTACCTCTCATTTGTAGGGTTTTGTTGTTTGCATATGATTGCTCAGTCTACCTGTTCTGAGTCCTCAGCTCAGGTATTCCTCTAGTCCAGAAAATTCCTTTGTAACCATCATCAAGAAATAACCCTCTGGACCTCCCATCCTCACTTCTGCAGAGGTGGTCTCAGCTGCTGGATCAGGCCTCTAATTGCTTCTCAAGCAGTTTCATACCATTCTTCTTGTTTTAGCTACACACTTTCCTACAAAACCATCCTCTCTCTCAGTCATAGGAAACCTGTGCTTTAGATCCGAAACCACCTGTGGCTTTTGCTGTATATTGGGTTATTCTGTCTTAGCATTCCATAGTGTAAGTTTCAGTCTCTTACCTCATTGCTGTTAAATGAGTTGCTATTAGTCCATCTGCTTACCTTGAAAAAAATTATGGCGGATACTTCTGCTTTTCCAGTTCTTATGGGTTTATGTCTTTAAAATATAATCCCTACTGCAGTTTTAGTGGTATCTGAAAGGAGCATTCAGTGTGGCTCCAAGCTGCCATCTTAATTCAGAACTCTTTGCTGTGCAAATATTATTTAGAGGTTTCATTATGGAAGAGTGTGTGTAGAGTTGGCCTTCTCTCGTCCCTTTTTGCTGCTACTATATCCTAATTTAGATTCCCATTTTGGACCCTGGAGCCTTAGCAGTAAGCTACTGGAGCTATTTCAAAAGCCAAACCAGGCTCCCAATTCACTGCGTTGACAGCTGTGCTGATGGATGTGGCACTACTGCTGGTATGAGATTAGTTGGCCCGTCATGGGTTTGCTTTTGCTTTATGCTCCTGAATACACTTTCCCTTAACTCACCTTTGATCCTAAGGAATGTGTGCATAATCTTTTTGAAAATGTTTGCTATGCCAATATTCTAGATTAATGTCTGAGAGCGTTTAATGTTCAGAAGCTATGCGTTGAGGCCCATCCACCAGGTGTCTCCTGCTTTGTGGCTTATAGGTCACCTTTGTTCAGGGACAAGTGCTTTCTGACTCCTTTTTATGGCTAAGGGGACACTGTATTTGTAAAGCCACTAGCATTGGCTTATCTTGAAGCCCTTTGCAATTGCAAAACCATTCATAAGTTCAAGATGCTAAGCAAGTTGGTCTCATATAGAGATAATAAATGCTGCGGAATAAAACCCAAATATGCAATGATGTCATTCCTTTGCTTTCTCAGAAAAGTATTACAGGCCTCTTGGTTCTTATTCTGCTTCCTCACAGACTTATGACGATTAGTTATAGGCAAGATGTTGACAAAATAGTTGTTCGTTTGAGTTGACTTTGATAACATTTTAAGGAAAACTGTTCTAGAATGTTCTAAAATGGCCATTCAAGGCCTCTTCTCAGGTTTTCTCCCTAGAATTTTGCCTGTTAGGATTGCACTGTCAGGCTCGATATATACAGTTGATTTGTGTTCCTAGCCATAATTGTTATATGCCAATAAGATTTTTATGGACACTGTAATTAAATATAATTTCTGCATGTCACAAAGTATTGTTTTTCATTTTCTTTCAACCATTTAAATATGCAAAACAATTTTTAACTTGATTCTATACAAAAGCTGGTGGTAGACCAGATTTGGCCCATGAGACATGGTTTTTCTAACCCTGGTTTAAAGCCTTTGCCTTAAAATGAGAACTATTCCTCTTGTGTTGAGTTTTAGCCATGACATGATAAGTTGGATGTCTGTTGGTGTGAAAGCATTGTTTGGGGGTAACCATGCTCCAGTTTTTGCCTTCTTAAGAGAGTCATTTCAAACAGATTGAAGCACTCCAGGGTTCCCCATTTGATATACTTCTCTCCTTTTCCACCATTCCCATTCTTTCTTTTTTTTTTAATGGACACAATACCTTTATTTTGTTTATTTAGGTTTTTTTTTTTTTTTACATGTGGTGCTGGGGATCGAACCCCATGCCTCACGCGTGCTAGGCAAGCGCTACCACTGAGCCACAACCCCAGCCCCCCCGCCCCCACCTCCCTGCGCGCCATCCCCATTCTGCTAGACATTGTTTGATTTTTCTCCTAGGCACTTTAAAATAATTTCAACTTTAGAGTAATGATTATATACTATGCACTATGCTAGTTGCTTAAGAGATGTGAATATAAATATAAACCAGAGCCACGATTTCCTGGCAAATAAAACACAGCTAAAAGAAATTTCTTCTTTTTGACAAAGTTCACCAGGTGAATCCTATGTATGGGGTGGGTATGCTGCAGAAATTGTGTAGGTATTTCCCCCTTATTTCATGTTGTAAGTGAGACATATTTTATATGTGCATTTATTCCCATTTGGAGGATGCCATCAAAATCAAAAGAGTGAATAATAGTGTGCTACTTCAAATTTTTTTTAATATTGCCATATTTTCACTATACTAGAGACTTCTCTTCAGATACTCTGGCAATTTATTCATTAATTTAAACTTCTTTAAAGAAACTTCCTTTGAAAGCTGTATTTCTTTGGCAAAGATAGATCACTACTTCGTAAAGATTTATGATTGAATGAACAAAGAACAGGGGGAGGTTTAGGTGACGGAGTCTGTGCAGTGAATATAATACAAATAGGAACATTAAAAAGAAAAAAAATAGTCTAAGGCTGTAGAATCAAAGAACAACACAATTATAGATTTCATGGTAGTAATAGTAAGTAATATAGTCTCAAATGAATACTCCTTTATTTCATAGACGGGATTGGCATTTGTGCAATATTCTTTAGTTAAATTTCAATTTATTGGATTTTTGCATCACTGCATATTGATCTATTGAATTTGTCACAGTGGCCTTGTTTTTACCTTGATGTGTTTAATACCTGCTGGATCAGAATGCCAATCAATTTAGGTTAATTTCATTAAGTTTGCTAAAGCTTTTTAAATTAAAGGCACTGCTGACATTACCAGTAACAAAATGTAAGTAACATACTCTCATATATTATTGTTCTAGAAAATATAAATAACATATATTCTCTTTGACCATTTCCTTACTTGGATTTTTAAATTCCCTTAATTATTTACAAGAATATAAATCATTTAACATTTAAAATTTTAATTATCTGCACAATCATTACTTAGTATTCTGTGTCAAACTTGAAACTTAGCATAGATTTCAGTTCTCACTGAATAGATTTCAATTAAACTTCTATCTTTTCTTAGAGAGAAATGGATTATGTTTAAAAAATCATATTATGCTTCCATTACAAATATAAGGTGGGGAGTGGTTCCTGACAAGTAGCCTTTCAGTTATTTCCTTGTGCATTTTAGATTTCCAGAGAGGCTGTGGTGCATTTGGCATTTACATGAAATAAAATCATTGTTGAGATTTTTTGAGTAACATATTTTTCAATGAGCTCTGAAGTATGCAATTCTGGAACTCAGCTTGCATTATTAACTGATTTTATTAGCTATCATTAATGCAGTATTTATAAATATTGCTTGGAGAACTGTGGTTACATTTACCAAAGAGAATCAAGACGAAAACTGATAAACTAGTTCTCTAGAATTTTTTTTTTAAAGAAAAGCAGACTACATTGCGTACAAAACCACTAGTAAATTCAGAAAGGAGAAAAACAAAACCAACAACGAAAAACTAATCCTCAAGGCTTCAAAAAATGATTATTTGACCGCATTTTATTGCTTCATGGGATTGGCGTGTAGTCATTAGTACAGTTTTCTATGGGGATATTGAGCAAGCAAAGTTTGTTATAGCATATGCTGATATAGAATTAAGGAGATTTTAGTTATGTAAGGTTCAAATTATCTTTGACACATTTTGCAGGTTACTTAGAAAATCTTACCTAAACATAGGACTCTTCTTTATCAGAGAGCCTAACATCAGATTTTAATCATAATTTGTACCCCCAGGGTTTTAGGTTTCCAACAGGCCACCTGTCTCAGACATTTAAAAATTCACAGGACAGATGGGAAGGTGAACGAACTTGTCCTTGGATAAAGAAATTCTTATATTACAGGAACGTTCACAGGAAGGGCTAGCCAGTATATCACACACACATAACCCTGCATTTCTCTAGCATTCAGACATCATAATGGCACATTTCCCTTTAGTAGTATAAATACAAAATTCATCATTCATGTGCTATTCTTTTGTGGTCAAGAGAGAAAAAAAATTGTCATATTTATTTATTTATTTATTTTATTGTTGGTTGTTCAAAACATTACATAGTTCTTGATATATCATCTTTCACACTTTGCTTCAAGTGGGTTATGAACTCCCATTTTTAGCCCATATACAGATTGCAGAATCACATCAATTACACATCCACTGATTTACATTTTGCCATACTAGTGTCTGTTGTATTCTGCTACCTTTCCTATCCTCTACTATCCCCCCTCCCCTCCCCTCCCCATCCCTCTTCTCTCTCTACCCCCTCTACTGACCTTCATTTCTCCCCCTTGTATTATTTTTCCCTTTCCCCTCATTTCCTCTTGTATGTTCTTTTGTATAACCCTGAGGGTCTCCTTCCATTTCCATGCAAAAATTGTCATATTTAAAAAAACCTGTTGTTCAGGTGATCCAGGAATCAGGAAATAGAGCTACATTTTATATTAACTTTCCCAAATCTCCTCTTTGTGGAATGTGCACCTTGTAATACTGTACACCTTTGAGTTTAAGAAACAAGGTCTGAAAACAGGTTGTCTAGGTTTGGTTACCTTGACAAGTTAATTAGTTAATATCCCTGTGTCGTACTTGTTTTATCTGTGAGATGGGAGTTTAAAAATTTGTTCTTTTTGGATATACATGACAGTAGAGTGTATTTTGACATATTAAATATACATGGGGTATAACAATCTAATTAGGATCCCATTATTGTGGTTGTATGTGATGCAGAGTTTCACTGGTGGCATATTCATACATGAGATGGGGATTTTAATAATTCTTTATAGTATATGAAGAGTGCATGAAGATGATATGTACAAAGTGCCTGGAATAGCATCTGGAACTGAGAGTTCAAGCTAATTAAATGTTTGCTATTAAAAATATACTGTGTCAGTCAACTTTCTGTCACTCTGACAAAAGTGCTTGAAATAGTCAGCTTATAAGGAAAAATATTTATTTTGGCTCATACTTGTAGAAGTTCAGCCCATAGTTGGTTGGCTCTGTTGCTTTTGGGCCTGCACAAGACAGAAATTTACTGTAGAAGCTTCTGGTGGAGTAAAGCTGGTCCCTTATGGTAACTGGGAATCAAAGAGAGTAAGAGAAAGGGGCTGAGGTCCTAATATCCACTTCAAAGGGGACCCTACCTCCTAAAGGTTCTGTTGCCTCCCAATAATGCCACAGGTTGGGACTCAAACCTTCAACATATGGCCTCTGTGGGACATTCAAAATCAAGACTATATTATATACAAATTTATATTTAAAATATGAAAGAGGGACTTAAACTTATACTTGTAATTTTTTTTTGAATTTTTTAGAAAAACGTTCTTTAAAAGATGTCACAGTCACATTTATTTCTTGGGGAAGAATTTGTTTTTCACATGTGTTCAAACATTATCAAATCCTGGAAGCCTTTTAGGAAGCTTTGGTGAATGGTGCTGTGAACTGTGGTTGATCTCCACTACTTCCTTAAGTGGGTATTACTTAGAAACAGGTTAGAAAGTTGAATTCTCAGTGTCAACCCAAGAACTACTCCATCGAAACTTCGGGTAGAATAAGAATCTGTGTTTTAATAAGCCTTCCAGGTGATTTTGATGCATGTGAAGCTTTAGGATCACTGGCTTACATGTAAAGTTGTTGGGAGAACCACTGTATTTGTCCTGGGTACAAAGTAGAGCACCCCGCTGGGAGGGACATTCCAGTGGAAGAGGGGCACTCAAGAAATGTGTAAATAATCATAAAAATGTAAGAATTTCAGGTGATAGAAGTGTGAAAAAACAATTGAGCAGGGAAATGGTATAAGCAGATGATCGGGAATGTTAAGGTCTTCCAGAGACAGGATGTTCACGGAAGGACTGAAGATGTGACAGCTGAGGTTCAAACTGATTTTACGAGAACAATAAATGAAAAAGTCAAGGAGGGAGGAATCTTGAAAGAGGAAGCCGCTAGTACAAATGCCATAAGGCGGGGATGCCTTTAGAAAGCGCTCTATAGCTAGTCTGCTACAGCTCAAACATCCTATCTGAAAATCCAAAATCTGAACGGCTCCCAAATTTGGGATTTTTTGAAGGCTAACATGGAGCCAGTGGTGAAAAATCCCCCATGTGGGCCTTACGTGACTGATGTGACTGAACACAGTCCAGATGCAGGCTCACTGAAAATACTGCATAAAATTACCTTCAGGTTATGCGTTTAAAGTGTATATTAAAAATAAATGAATTTTTATGTTTAGATTTGGGACCCAATCGCCAAGATATCTCTTATGTATATGCAAATATTTCAAAATATTGATTGGGAGTATTGAGGTCTTCCAGAGACAGGGTGTTCATGGAAGGACTGAAGATGGACTGCTGAGGTTCAAACTGATTTTATAAGAACAACAAATGAAAGAGTCACTTCTGGTCCTAAGCACTTCAGATAAGGAATACTCAACCTGTATTATAGACAAGGAAAGGGGCTCTTGGCTAAGTTTTCGATTAAAAAATTTCTGTAATTTCCTATTTTGTTTTGCATAATAGCCCAATACCTAAATCCAAGAGTCATATATTCTCGATCTATTTATCAGCTGAGTCACCAAAGTCACTGTTAACTCTTAAGGTTGTGTTGCGTTGATAGTAAGTTGTGCAGTTTGGAGGCTGTGGTTACTGATGGACCAAGTAAAACATTTTCCTGTGGAATTAAGGAAATCTTGTCAGCTTCAGATTTCTCTCATTCAGAACATAAATCAGTATCGTTAGTCTCTATTTTATTGCCTGCTACTTGTGTTAATGCGTGCAGAATGTCTAATAATAATAACAAATGGCTAGCATCTCTTTCTTTAAAAAAAATTTTTTTTAGATGTTGCTGACCTTCATTTTATTTATTTATTTATATGTGGTGTTGAGAAGCAAGCCCAGTGCCTCACACATGCTAGGCAAGCACTCTACCACTGAGCAGCAACCCCAGCCCCCCAACATCTCTTTCTTGACTATTAATTCTGGTTAGAGAAGTCATCTCACACATCAGATAAAGACAATACAATTTTAAGTGCACAAGACAAATTTTGAAAATAAAAAACAAATTCAACAATCTTAGACTTTTAAAAATGAAATTGTTATTTGAGTATTATAAATAGTATAAAAGAATTGTAGTTCAATTCAACACTATGACAAGACTGAGAAAATATGCCCAAGATAAAACTTTCTTTTTTTTTCAATATTTACATGATAAATCAAGTATACAACATGAAAAAGAAAACATATTTTTAAAGCTAAGAATACCTGGATTCCAGTCTAGACCTCTCCGCTGTTAATAAGTGATACCATGATCAAGCCTCCATTTCAATGTGCCTCCACTTCATTGCCTATAAAATGGGATCATAAAATCTGTCTCTCTGGGTTTATTAACTTAGAGATTATTAAGACCATTTAACCAAGTGTATAGCAAATAGGTGGTCAAAAGTGGTAATTATTTTATTATTTCAAATTTAGTGAAAACTCTGAATTAATAGTTTGATTAACTGCAAGTCAAAGAAAAGTCTGTGGTTCTGTCTATCCTTCAAGTGCAGACTCTTGTTTATTCTAGGGGTTATGAATCTATTTTCCTTTTTTATTTTCTGAAAGGTCATCAATCCTTAGAAACTTCTCTGTGGCCAAGTCAACCTCCCACAATGGTAACTTCCTCCCTCTGTTTTCAGTTTCACCTTTGAGATTCCATCCTGTGGCCACTGGCTGGCCAGCATGTGCCCTTTGGGACATTTCTTTTCTAGGTAAACAATCCGTGTTTCTGCAACTGTTGTGTTTTGTTCCCTCGCCCACCT